GGAAAGTGATAACCCAATTTTAGCCCAAGAAATGGGGTAAGGGGAGAGGGAGGGGAGGGGAAGGGGCAACATAGGTGGAGGGAGGGTGTTTGGTTAGACCACATGTATGGTGCATCTTATAAGGGTACATGTGAATCTTTCTAAATGTAGAATATAAATGTCTTAACACAATAACTAAGAGGATGCCACGAAGGCTATGTTAACCAGTTTGATGAAAGTATTTCAAATTGTATATAAAGCCCGCTCAGTGTACCCCATGACTGCATAGCTATACACAGCTATGATTTAATAAAAAAACTTAAAAAAAAAAAACCCCAGCACAGTGTACCCCATGACTGCATAGCTGTACACAGCTTTGATTTAATAAAAAAATTTTTAAAAAAACACTAGTCACCTAATTTATGCCAAGCACAGTCAGAGACTCAAGGAAATCACGATAAAATGGTTCATATGTTGTACCTTTATGACCTAACAATTAATGGCTACTTGCAGTATTGCAATAAGCCAATATCAACAACTTAGCCCATTCACTAGTTGCCCTCATTTTATAATTTGTTTTTGTTTACAACATCAGATCCCAGGAAAATAAAATTAAATGAGAATTTTGTTGAATGTTTTGCAAATTAAGTTTGCAATGGAAAGGCACATGGTTTCTGTGGAGTCCAAAGTAACTGAGAGGGAGGCTAATGAGAAGCAGGCTGAGTGCTTAGTGAAAAGCAGTATGTGCTCAGTCTTTCCTTGCTGGTGTCCCATAATCTGGTCTGGATGGAGATGTGAACTGGGGGCGGATGATCATGTTGGCCATGCCTGCTGTCATGTAGAGCTAACAGAGGTACAGCCTCAACAATGGGTACTTAATACCCAGGTAAGCCCAAGAAATAGCTCTTCTCTAAAAAAAGTGTCCCCAGTGAATTTTGTTGGATTACCATGTATCTGTCTGAATTTGTGTTTTAAGCCAATAAGTTCCGAGATTTTGGGTATGCTTTGTTCTAAATCTCCTTCCCTCCGTGTGATGAACAAACACTAATTTCTTACACATTTTCTGCGTGACCTCTCCTGAAGTAGGAACAGAATTGCTAAAATGTTGGTACATCTTCCTAATAATGTGTAATATGGCATGTATTATAGATTAAAATAATATATAAAATTTATAATAAAAGGCCAAGTACTATATTAACTAGTATGTCTTATCTAAGAAATGGTGTTCTATGATACTTTAGTTCCTCCACCATCTCAACCAGGAGGCTACCAGCTATTTCATGGCAGGACAATGGCTCAGTCTTCCTGTACCCCTAGATCTAACAGTTGCTACCAATTAGTAGAAATTCAGAGTGCATGTTTGATAAAGGAAGGAAAGGAACAGTAAGGAACAAAAAGCAAAGGCTGAGGGAAAGCAAAGAGAACAGAAAGGAAACAAAGGAAATATTTTTTGCCAAAACAAAATAATAACTGCATTAGACTTCTTTTAAAAAATGTCTCTGTATATCCTTCACTCAGACTGTCTCCCTCAAATGGCTCTGGCACTTTTCCAATGAAATAACAAGAGGAGAAGTGAGAATGTGTGTTCCCTGTCTTAACACCTAATCAAGGAAAGTCAAGAGCACATCATTCACTTACTCATACTCTAGAACAGTGGGATGAGAAAAAAACTAATAATTGTACATAATGATAAGTGTCATTACTCAAGTGTGCCCAAAGCAAGCTTTAAGGGAAAGGGTGATGGTGGTTCATTCTGCCTAGGAAGATCAGGGAGGAAGAATATTTGAGATGAATTTTGAAAGCTATGGGGGGAAGACAGACTTGGAGGGAAGAAAGAGTATTTCAGGGAAGATAGTCCTTAGCAGAGGGAATCCTGAAGCTTTCTAACATTCAGATTCTGCCCAGTTGAGAAGTGGGATGAGTCTGAATTTCCAGAAACAGTGATGCTTGTAAAGATGGCATCAGTTCTTTAAAACCATGTGTTTTAGGATTGATTTTTTTTT